AGTACTGACATGTTTTCTTGTGACTTACCACTAGAGAAGGTGATTACTAGTTAAATTTTTGTGCATTCACCGGCTTTTTATTTTACTTAATTCTCTCTTCTCACGTCACTCCTCTCCCCTCCCTTAGTTATGTTAGAACCCAGTGTTTTTCTTCATGAATGTGCTTTTCTTTATGAATTAGTTTCCATTTGTTATTTTTAAAAACTTTTTATTTTAGAGTTGACTATAATTCCCATCGGTTCTTAAATTCAATATGCAGTGTGATCGCGTGGCGCTCAGCTGGGCCATCTCCGTGGCATGCTCTTTCTTCTGCGGTAACTGCCTCCATTGCTAACCACATGTCTCTAGCAGGTGACGTGGTTTTTAGTGACTTCCCTCACCACAGTTGACTAGGGGTACACATTTGACCCAAGCCAGGCCAATCTGAGTTCTGGGCAAGATATTCAAGCTAGAACAAAGAGACACTAAGATTCAAAATTCAGGAGTCATTGATGGCTAAGTGAGATCCTCCAGTAACCTTCCAACGAGTAACTTTCCACTACATCTCTATGCAATTAAAAGAGGGATTGATTTTACTGGTATTTCTGAGAACACTGTGGATAATGACGAGTCCAAAGTTTATTTGTGTGTGTGTGTGTGTGTGTGTGCTCAGTCGTATATACTTGTTTATTTATGCATTCCAAACTGGGGCCAATGGGTCAGAACGGTTCAGCAGTGTCCTTGCAGGCCCTTTGGCTCCCTCCTCTGCCACTCAGCTTCCCTTGGTTCCAGCCATTTTTTAACCCTTCCTAATTATTCTACAAGCCATTCATTTCCTTAAAATTTTTATCTGCATCTTTTACTTTCACAACCCAAGAACTTTAATTGATATGCATTCTTTAAATGTATTTGTAAGTACCTCTTCAATGCTTAGTGTGGTTTCTAATTACAGCTTTTTAAAATATTGTGATAAAACTTATACAGCCTTTATAATATGCCAGGCATTGTTTTAAATCCTTTACAAATTCTACCTTTTTGATACTCATAACAACCCCGTGAAAGAGGTATTATTATACTATTTTACAGATGGAAAAACCAAAGCACAAGATGGTTATAAATAACTTACCCAGGATCCCACAATTAGTATGAGACCTTTTTAAAAAAACATTTTAAATGAGTAGTCTCCCCTCAAACATTCTATCCTGAAATCTGCATAAGAGCATTTGTAGATTTTTTTGCTTCTGAAAACACAGTTACTGTACCTAAGCAGGTGACATAAATGCTAGACTTTTTCAGCTGTGTTTGTCTGTCAACTATAATACTATAATCAGGAAAACATGCTTTTGAAGTTGCCTGTGTGTGTGCTGAGTCGCTTCAGTCATGTCTGACTCTTTGCAACCCCGTGGACTGTAGCCCGCCAGGCTCCTCTGTCCACGGGATTCTCCAGGCAAGAATACTGGAGTGGGTTGCCGTGCCCTCCTCCAGGGGATCTTCCCGACCCAGGGATCGAACCACAGTCTCCTGCGTCTCCTGCATCACAGGCGGATTCTTTACCACTGAGCCACCTGGGAAGCCCTTGAAGTCACCTACACGTGTGCACCAGGCATGGAGCCCATATGTACCCAGATTCTTACCGTTCATCTTTGAGGCATATGTCAGCTGTCTTCCAAGTGTTTATTTAGCAAAAGGAGGAAGAGTTTTCCTCCCTCTTCTTTTTAATCAGCATTAAAGGAAGGAAGGAAATATTGGAAGGAAGGGAATATTTTCAAGCACTTGGAGTTTTGTCAAGTCCTGGAAGACCAGAAGACGCTTAGTGTAATGGATTGAATTGTGGATCCCACTAAAGGTTTGTCCATATCCTAACCCCTGGGACCTGTGAATGTGACATTAAAAAGGGTCATTGAGGGTGTAGTTAGGTCCAGACTCTTGAGATGATATTCTGAATTATCGCGGTAGGCCATAAATCCAATGGCAAGAGTCCGTATAAAAGACAGAAAAGTAGGACTTCCATGGTGGGCCAGTGATTAAGAGTCCACCTGCCAATACAGGAGACGTGGGTTCAATCCTTGGTCCGGGAAGACTCCACATGCAGTGGGGCAACTAGGTCTGTGTGCCACAGATGCTGAGCCCACGCATCATGATTACTGAAACCCGCCTCCTAGAGCCCACGCTCCACCAGAAGCCCCCACGGTGAGACGCGGAGCAGCCCCCACTTGCTGCAACTAGAGAAAGCCTGGGTGCAGCAATGAAGACCCAGCACAGCCACAAATAAATGAATAGATGCCCCCCTCCCCAAAAAAAAAGAGAAAAGGAGAAGATAGAAGGAGGAGAAGGCCTTGTGAAAACGGAGGCAGAGACTGAGGTGATGTGCCATAGCCCAAGGAATGTTTGGAGCCACTGCAAACGAGGAGAGGCAGGAAGGAGGGAACATGGTGACTAGGGGCTTCTGGGGCTTCCAGAACTATGGGAGAATAAGTTTTCCACTGTTGTGAAGTACCCCCGTTTATGATAATGTGTCATGGAAGCCCGAGGAAGTTAACACACTTGGGGAGGTGACTTTTACAGACTCATCGGCCACTTTTCTGATGGAGCCACAGCACTTGCTTGGCTAAGCCGTACTGCTCACCAGGTCATGAGTATGAGCCCCACAGTTCAGCCTGAAATGTGAACAGTAAAGTAACGTCAAGATTGCCGATGAGTTGGCTTTCCTGGGACATTCCTGCCATATTTTTCTGGAAGTAGTAAAGAGTTCCTGAGGCTTTTTCAGTTTTGGTATTTATGTGTATGGATTCAGTTAAAACCAGAAAGTCCTGCGTCTGGTTGTCCTTTAAAGCATGGCCTCACCCTCCCTAACCCTGTGGTGTCCATGACCTCATCCAGAAGGTGAGGGCATTTTCCCACGGGATCCTCACACACGCGTCCACTCAGCCTTGGTGCAGACTCGGCATCAGTCAGGGCCGGCACATCATGAGCACACTCTCCACACCTGAGAGGGAAGCCTTCCGGTCGCGTGCCCTTTGTGAAGCCGGGAGTCTTGTGTGATGACGTTCCAGTTCATGAGGTCTTACCCTGTGTGAGTCTGCAGGCTGGACGGAGCTGCTGCTTCTGGAGGAAGCTTCTGCTTCGCTGCAGGGGTCTGACAGGGAGGAACATGGGGAGGCGGGCCCGTGAGCCGGCCCCGGGTCCCTGCCCTTGTGTGGCACGAGGTGCTCTGGTTCCTTCGCTTGTCTGATGGACCGGCTCCTCCGGGAGGCCGCTGGCATCGGGAAGCTGGTGGGACCTGGATCAGGCCTGGTGAGCTTCGCTCAGACTTGCTGCGACGTGCACTGCAGATGCCCGTGAGTGCAGTCTGTTCCTTGATGGCCTCTAATAACGGGCCTGTCTGTCTCTTCCCGCCTGGTCACCTCTCCCCTCCCCGTTTTCTGACTGGCGGTTTGAAGTTACAGCCCTGCTCCTGAATATACCCTGGGGTGTGGTGGTCACCCCTACTAAACTTCCCATTTCCTGCCTCATCAAATTCAACTTTGCCAATTCCACCAGTTCTCTTGACTGCCAACAGAGCAAATGTGGCTTCTTTCAAGGAAGACAGTAGCTGACGATTGGACCACCTCATGTGAAGAGCTGACTCTGGGAAAGTCCCTGATGCTGGAAAGAGTTAAGGCGAAGGGAGAAGGGGACGACAGAGCATGAGATGGTGGGATGGCATCACCGACTCAACATGTGTCTGTTGAGCAAACTCTGGGAGACAGTAAAGGACAGGGGAGCCCGGTGTGCTGCTGTCCATGGGGTCACAGAGTTGGTCATGACTTAGTAACTGAACAACAGCCAAGATCAAGAAACAAAACAAACTTCTCTTTCTTTCGTTCATTCATCTACCCCATCGTCCTCCCTTCCCTTTCTCTCTCTCCCTTTAAAGAACTTTACTTGAGCCCCTATATGTCAGCTGGGGGCTTCCTTTGTAGCTCAGCTGGTAAAGGTCTGCCTGCAATGCAAGAGACCCAGGTTTGATCCCTGGGTCGAGAAGATCCCCTGGAGAAGGAAACGGCAACCCACTCCAGTATTCTTGTCTGGAGAATCCCATGGACAGAGAAGCCTGGTGGACTGCAGTCCATGGCGTTGCTAGGAGTTTGGATTAGGGAACTTGAAATGGTTAGAGATCCTGTGTGCTGTACTGTGCTTAGTCATTCAGTTGTATCCGACCCTCTGTGACCCCATGGACCGTAGTCCACCAGGTGACTCTGTCTGTGGAGTTCTCCAGACAAGAATACTGGAGTGGGTTGACATGCCCTCTTCCAGGGGATCTTCCCAACCCAGGGATCGAACCAGGGTCTCCTGCATTGCAGGCAGCCCAGCCACACTGTAGGCAGGATTTGCAATCATGTTTTCCTCAGGCTTTGTAGGTGGACAGAAAAGCCAGTGAGAGTAGAAAAATAGAAGAGAGTAGCTGAGATCCAAAGGGTTCTCTCCATCAGTTTACCCAAAAGGGGCAGAAAAAAATGAAAAGTGGCATAAAGCCATCAGAAGAATGGAGCAGATTTTCTCTTCCCAGCAATGCTTCTTCCTGCTCCCTTCCTATCTCAGCCAGAGATTGTGTTCCTGCTCCAGAGAACTCCAGGAAGGAAGACAAGGCCAGTGAGGCTCCTGGAAGTGGCTCTCGGTGTGGTCATAGCCTCCATATGACTTGTGAGGGCCTTGTCCCTGTCTGCGGGATGCTGGGACGCACCGAGGTCGTGCCGCTTTTCACGTGGAGACATGGTGGCACTTGTCTACTGAACTAGAGACAAGCACACAGATCTGCTTTTTGGGAATCAGGATACTGTTGCTGCCCGTGAAGACGTTCCTTTCTTCCTCTGATGGTAACTCACTTACTAGGACAGCAAACCCCAAACCTTGACCTTGTTAGCTTCATATTCTATGGAGCTAAGAAAACAGAACCAGGAAGTTGCTTTAAAAGGGACATCTCTTACCCAGGAAATTCCAGCAACTTTTAATCTACATGTAGATCATTTTCAAAATGGCACTTTGTTCAGAATTGTTATCCTTTATTGCACAGGGCTTTTCAGTTTGAATCACTAGAATCACAATAAGGAAAAGAGGAGAAATTTGTTTCTAAAAAATTTTAAGCAGAAAATTCTGTAAGCTTTCTCAAGAAGACTTTTTTTTTTTTTTTTTGCCTGCTACTACCATCTAAATAATGGCATTTCCTTCAACTAAAATATTTGTAAAGCTTTTCGGTTTGTTCGGTTTCTTTTTAGAGCAGATGGTCTGAATGGCCTGAGTCTGTCCCAAGATGGTTTGATTTATTCTTCCAGAGTTGCTGACACCTTAGAAGGATAAACAGCTCAGGAGAACGCGTCAGTGGACTCCCTCTGCTATATTGTCTCTGCTGTCAAAGAGAGACCCCCAGGAGGCCCACTAGATAAAGGCTGCCACACCTTCCAGCTGTTGGGCATTCTTATCATCCCAGGGTTGTCATCACTAAGGGCAAGGGGAAGGAGTTGGAAGCGAATTTGTCAGCCATCCAGCGGGATCTCTCTGTGGATTGAAGAATGTGGGACCCTTACTGCACACAGCCTGCGTGCCTGATGCACAGTGAGGTCAAGTACAGAACTGTCAGAGTTTGGAGCAGAGAAAGGTTTGTTTTGGGGCCAGGCAAGGAGACAGGCGGCACATGCTTAAAAAAAGCCCCAAAGTCCTTGAAAGCTTTCAGCGAAGCCCTTGCACTGGGAAGGTGAGGGAGTGGTGTGGTTAGTCGTGGCAAACTTCTTGGTGCGGGATTCTTTGTTTTTGCAGGATCCACGTAGGTCAGGCCACGGTCATGTTCGTACAAACCTCCATCAAAACAAGTGTTATTCTCTGTTATGACAAGAAGGGGAAAGGGAGGCATTAAATTGTGTCCCCAAGCCTCTGTGCAGCTTTTAACACTTAAACCCCGCAGTAAGAGAGGCAGCGTCGTCACCTCTCCTTTTGCTTGTTCAAGGTCCAGAGCTCGACGTTCGCCCTCTGAGGTCCGGCCCCGGCCGAAGGGAGGGTCCCTGTGTGGGCAGTGCGCTCCCGGGAGCCCTCCTGCAGCCGCCTGGGCCCTCCTGCAGCGCCCGGGACCCGCCGCGGAAGCTTACCTCGGCCGGCACTGCCACCCCAGCCAGGCCCCCGCACCCTGCCGGCCGTCTTCACTGGGGCACCCAGGTGCCCGGGACCCAGGCGGCTCCTCTGGCCACCCCAACAGGGCAGGTCTTGGGGACTGTGCCCCAAGGTGACCGCCACGGCAGCACCCCTGTGATGCCAGTCATTGCCAAAGCATGATCGGGAGCAGCCTCTAGCCAACGGTCACGGGCTCACGGTCACGCACTAACAGCTGCCCACTAATGGCCACCTGCTAACGGACGCCTGCTAAGTCACGTGCTAACGGATGCCTGCTAAGTCACGTGCTAACGGATGCCTAATAAGTCACGTGCTAACAGTCACGTGCTAACGGACGCCTGCTAAGTCACGTGCTAACAGCCACGTGCTAACGGACGCCTGCTAAGTCACGTGCTAACAGCCACGTGCTAACGGACGCCTGCTAAGTCACGTGCTAATGGCCACGTGCTAAGGGATACATGCTAATGGTCAGGTGCTAACGGCCACAAGCTAAGGGGCACATACTGCCGGGTGCTAACGGTCATACTCTGCCGGTTAAGGGCTGACTGCCAGGCACCAGCTGTGTGCCCGCCCCACCGAGTCACAGTGCCAGCAACAACCTGGCTGCGGGAGGGCACAGATTAAGTGATGAGACTGGAATGTAATACCTGCTGCAGGAAAAATTACCTGCTGCTTTCTCTATTTAAATAGAAAGCAGTATTTAGCATCTTACTGTTCTTTTGAAGCTGGGGCCTCAGGGGAGGATGTCTTAGACCACAGGGTTCTGCTCATCCGCTACGGTTATGGTTCCACATGGGTCTGTGAGTACGACAGTGTCTCCTCCGTCCTACGTCTCTGACCACTTCCAGCGGGTCTGTCCAGTCTCCCCAACAAGTTCATGGAGGATTGCCCATCTTTTGACAGGAATCGCAGTAGGAGACCCAGAGCCATGAAGGCCATTGGGATTCTCTGTAGGAAGAAAGCATTTTGAGTACATTTTGAAGTAATAAGGGACATCAAACTTGATATAACTGTTAACCCGAGACATTTTAAAAGTAGATTATTCTCCAGCGGGAGACCTGGGTTCTTTCTCTGGGTTGGGCAGATCCCTGGGAGAAGGCATAGCAATCCCCTCCAGTATTCCTGCCTGGAGAATCCCATGGCACGACTGAACAACTAGCACAGACATAGTCTCCAGCTTGTAAGGTCTGACTTTTTAAGAGGGCTGCTATTATCTTTGCTTTTGTGCCCCATTGGTATCATTTATTGTTGATTAATTCTTGGGGCCAGACACAGAATGAAACTTTCCACTTGCTTTTGAAATTCAAAAAGGGCTATGATTATTTTAATGTGTCTGTTTTTCAGACTTAATCATCCTGAAAGAAAGAAAAGTGAAGTCACTCAGTCGTGTCTGACTCAATGGGATTCTCCAGGCAAGAGTCCTGGAGTAGGCTGCTTCAACAGGGGATCTTCCTGACCCAGGGATCGAACCCAGGCCTCCCACATTGTAGGCAGAGGCTTTACCATCTGAGCCACCAGGGAAGGCCACAATCACCTAAGTCTTGTTCAAATTTGGACTTTTTTTTTGCCTACTTTTAAGTTATCTACTGAAAAAAGATATAATAGCGTTACTAATCCTGTGAGTTGTCGATATTTACATTTCTGAAACCTAGACGGTGTGGGTGTGTGCTAATTCGCTTCAGTCGTGTCTGACTCTTCACGACCCGTGGCCTGTAGCCCGCCAGGCTTCTCTACTCACGGGATTCTCCAGGTAAGAACACTGGAGTGGTTGCCAAGCTCTTCTCCAGAAACCTAGACTAATAATCTTCCTTATTTCTAAGTATCCTTTGTAATTGTTTTAATCCTTTCACAAAGATTTACCATGTTCCTCTTGTCACTAATATTCCAGTGAAAGCGAGAGATACATGTAAACAAATACTTGGGTTTTCATGATGTATGTGGCCTAATTTAATATATGTCCCAAGCGTTCTGGGCGCCCAGAAAGGAAGCTGATAGATCCTGACAGGAGGAGCGATTGGGGGAGATTTCACAGATGTCATATTTGAAGTAGACCTGCTGGGAGAGTTATTATTAACTTGGAGGGGTTTAAGATGCATAGATAGCAGTAATCTAGGTAATAATCTGGGTAAAACTACAATCTGACAGGGACAGGGACAAGAATTCTGTTTGGAATCTGTTGCAGGCTTGTTCCATTGACTTGACGCAGGGGGTGTGGGATGGAGCAGGCAAACACAGATGGCGGGTAATTCTGCTTGAATGTTCAGTGGATGTGAGTACCTTGGTTTAGGTTTTTAAAATATAGAGGAAGAGGGCAGAATATTGAATTTTCTTTTTTAAAAACCTGATTCATTTTGTTTTTGGCTGCACCGGGTCTCCTTGCTGCATGCAGGCTTTCTGTGGCTGCGGCGAGCCGGGCCTCCTCCAGCTGGGGTGCGTGAGTTTCTCTTGCAGCGCGTCCCTGGGCGCAGAGCGCGGCCTCCGGAGCACAGGCGCAGTAGCTGTGTGCATGGCCTTACTCACCCCTCAGCGTGTGGGGTCTTCCTGGACCAGGCCTTGAACCCGTGCCCCCTGCGTTGGCAGGCAGGTCCTTAACCCCTGGACTACCAGGGCAGTCCAAGGTGTTGGGCTTTCTTCTTGTTCAGTGTGAGACGCCCAAATGCAAGCCTGGGGCAGTCCCTCCTGGTTTGACTAATCAAGTCTTAGAGAAAAGTCCTGGGCCAAATGCAGGTACATATGGGAGTTCATGGCATGTAAGATCTTGTGTGAGCTAGTCCCTAACTGTTTCCTATGTTATCTCTTGTAACTCATCTCTCACTGTCTTTTTCCAGACCTGCTCAACTACACCCAGCTGTCTGCTCTTTCACTCTGGTTTTTACCCTTCAAGGTGCCTAAAATACTCTTTTTCTGAAAATGGGGAAAAAAAGCAAAACAAACAAATGAAAAAGAAAACAAAATAACTGTCTCTTAGTAGGAAAATGATCAGTACACTGGCTTACTCATATAGTAGAAGTCAATTCAGTAGTTAAAACTAATGGATAAGATCTACATTTATCAACATGAATAAGAACCTAATATTGACTAAAAAATAACCAAGTTAACTGAATATGGGGCTTCCCTTGTGGCTCACCTGATATAGACTCTGCCCACGATGCAGGAATCCTGGGTTTGATCCCTGGGTTGGGGAGATCCCCTGGAGAAGGGAACAGCTACCCACTCCAGAATTCATTCTTGCCTCGACTGTATAGTCCATGGGGTCGCAAAGAGTTGGACACGACTGAGCGACTTTCACTTCACTAACTGAATATGTACAGTTTGATAGCATTTTTATGTATCATGTATCACACATATGTAGTAAATACATATATAAGTAAAAAAAAACTGACAACTTTATAATGTTGAATCTTCTCATCCATAGACATGCCATATCTCTTCATTTATTCAGGCCATTTTTATGCCTGTCAATGGAGAGTCACTATTTTTGCATAGAAATCTTGTGCAATTTTATTAGCATCCAGTCTCAGTCTTTCTTGTAGTCCATCCTAGACCTGGATCAAAGTTTCTTCCCCCTGGGAGATTTCTCCCACTTGTACCCACGAGGAGGGCTGAGGTTTTCCGTACAGTCTTTAAGAATGGAGACGGTGTCTTATTTATAGTGGCGTTTCCAGTGCTCAGTCAGGGTCTGGCGCATGGTCAGATCCTAGTCCGTACTGGATGAGAAGGTTAGGGGTGATAGTTGAAGCCAGGGAGCATGTGAAGGTCATTATGAAGACAAACAATAGGTAACAGTCAAGGGGCTCAGCCCCAGGGGGACGTTTGCGATAGGCCACAAAAAATGAAACTCCTAGAGTGACGGGTGATAAGCAAGCACCATATACTGGTGTCCCGAGTGGGGTGTCTCTACAAGTCCAAGCTGACAGCCGTGAGCAAGCCTGGTGCGTATTAATCTTAAATAGGAAAAGAGTCATTCCAAGCACCTAAGAAGTGAAGGAGGCAATGATTCCTACCTGTGAGTGGGTTGAATGGAGCTGGTCCACTGTGTGCATAGACCTTCCCCTTCGGGCCAGCAGGCACAGCCAGCAGCTGTTTCTGTTGCGGTCTTCAGCTTGCTCCCTCCCCGCTCTGCCAGAGCAGCTGGAGGTCTTCCTGGTGCCTTCATGAAGCACCCTTCCCGGGGACGGAGGAGCCTTCATGAAGCACCCTTCCCGGGGACGGAGGAGCCTTCATGAAGCACCCTTCCCGGGGACGGAGGAGCCTTCATGAAGCACCCTTCCCGGGGACAGAGGAGCCTTCATGAAGCATCCTTCCCGGGGACGGAGGAGCCTTCATGCAGCGTCCTTCCCGGGGACGGAGGAGCCAGCTCTGCTTCCCTGTTTGTTCTCAGTGGTCCCACTGACCTTGGCCTCATCATCCCCCAGCCCATTACTTCCCAGATGGGTCTGAATCGGTCCCTTGAGCTTTGAGCTATTCCCAGATGCTCTGACTGCTCTTCTCTCAAAGTGGAAAGGAATAAAAGGTGGACTGGATAAACTCTTATGGCAGACACGGCTGTTGGTGGAGCCAACATGATATCTTAGACTTTTTCTCGAAGTGAATCTCAGTTTGTTCCGGGTGGTCCTCTGAATCTTTGACGCCCACCTCTGCAGTCAGACGTGTCCACAGTCTGGCTGAGGAGGTGTAAGAGCACATTGCCTGCTGAGGCGTTTGGAAGCCCTCTCGGTAAAGGGGCTGATTCAGTAGGTCATATTTTCGTGCTTTGCTACAAAGCAGAGGCACTGCCTGGGGCTGTGGGAGACTTCCTACAGACAGGGGGCTCCAGGCCAGGCCCATCTCCTCCAGGAGCTCTTCCTGACCCAGGGATCGAACCCAGGTCCTGCGCTGTAGGCAGATTCTTTACCATCTGAGCACAAAGGAAGCCCATGAAGGGGCAGACAGGGAGAAAAGGAGTGGACTTGCAACCTGGCTTTTTTTTAAGCCACTGTTTAGTTGGTTTTCCTGTTATTTTCATTATAGTGAAAATGTAAGTGATACTACGTTAAGTGTGAAATTGTGATAAATATTTGTTTCTGTCCATAGAAGAAGTGATAAACGCTCCAGCATAGGTGGTGTTTAAGCAAAGGCCAAAGGAGAGTCTAAGGGGATTCCTGAAGAAAAAGAGGAGTTGAATCTGGCAGAGAAACAGAAATGTTAATTTATAAAGAAAATCATTTGAGATAAAGGTGGCTTCTGGAACCTCAGAGTGAAATTGTAACTACTACAAAATAAGGTTTCCTTATTTTAGC